GTACTCATCATTGGAAGCTTGTGAGTGATCATCTTCGATTCGAGTGTTTGGGTCGGGACTCTCAGTGACTTGTGAGGCCTCGATCAGCCTTGATGACAGTCCCAAACAATTTAAAGAATTGTCAGCAGAGTTTGGTACCGCACTGCTTGCACCATCAAGGCGAGTACCCTTGTCTCGAGTCCCCATTGTATCCTCAAGCTCATAATAATATTTACAGTGGTGTTTGATAATATAATCTGATTCAAAACATGATCAGTCGGAGATTCAGAAGGGTGCTTGAGGATGGATTCACTCACCCTGTATCAAACACTTCTTACGGTTCAAATAATCTGGATGGTCATCAGTCCAGCCATTCTTTGCTTTCTCTGCTTCAATTCCATTCTTTACACCCTGACCAGTGCTATTTAGCCACATCTGACCCGAAATGAATTTTTTTTCGAGTTCCGAAACCTGTAAGATAAATCATGTGTGTCAGTTGAGATTCAAAAGCTTTACGGTCTTGAGACTCACCTTTCCTTCCACGTTCTTGACACTTCGGCCATAAAAACCATGCTGAGCTAAATAATCGATGATCTCCTCCACCGTATGACTTTTCACAAGAGTCTTATCCTTGTACCGAGTCCAATTACCATAAGTTGTGATCCAGTTCAACAGAATACTCATCGCAGTTTCCCCCTTCTCATTTTTCTCCTCTTCCCAATACACTGGTGCTTTTCGAGTGGATACACTATCATTGGGTTCTTCTGCATCTTGTTTCTTGGATTTTCTTTTTGAATCGGACTTCGGGACTTTGCTGGTGGTGGCTTTGCGAGTGGATGTTGACATGGCCTTACCTTTTTTGGCCTTGGCAGTTCTTGAATTCTTTTGAATTGATGAGACTGGTTGTTTGATAGGTTGAGAGAGAGAAGCCATCGAATTGAAGGAGGATCCAAAGGCAGAGGGTGAAATTACAGTAGCAGGAATAGGTTGTGTATAGAAGTTTGGTGATCCGGAGTTCAAATTGAAATTTGATGGGTAGGCCTGAAGAGAAGATGGGTGAATTTGGAAGGTGAACGGTGTGATGACTTGGTTTTCTTGAGGGCTGCTTGGTTGGCTGGAGGTGGGAGTATGGTCGTTGATCACTTGATCCATGTTTGTTAGGCGGGGTATGTGGGGAAGCTGCAGCAGGCTGCAGCAGAGAGTTTATGTTGAATTTGTGTTTTTTCCAGAACGCCAGAAGGCTTCCCGAAGGGTTCTGGCGTTCTGGAAAAAACCTTCTGGAAATTTCCAGAACGATATTTGTGTACCGTAAATAATTCACTTTACATTGCATATTGACATCCGGTGTATTTATTTGTCCCATCCTCCCAAACCCTAACCCTGATCTGGATTGAAACTGCTCAGTTGATCTATCTCCTCTTTGCTCATGAAAAATTCAGAATCATTTTGCATTCACTTTCCAACCTGGGGATTTTGATTAATTGTTTTCCCGTGGGGGATTCATTTTCCACTTGTGGAAGTCGATTAATGTTCACAGTGAATCAATATTTTATGATTTATGATAGGTTAATTTCCTAATTCACAAATACATTTTGTGTTTGAAGTAAAATATAAAGATAGATGTTTTGTAATCAAAAAAGGATGTCAATTCCACCCTTTCTTGCCATTGTAAATTAAGATATTTCAAAAAAACCAACAAACCTCCCTGGCCCAAAAGATTTGATTTCTTGATCTCAGTAAACATTCATTGGGATTTAGATTATTCACAAGTATTTGCCTTTCTCAATCAATCAGATGAGCATGTTTGAATGATCAAAGAACTATGTTTAGATGTATCAACACTTGCTTCTACCTCATGATGTAGTTTTTCAAACATGTAAAATGTTCAGAGAGAATTGATCTTCTGTACCATATCCACTTTCTTCCACCTCAGGAACATGATTTCAAGATGGACTTTAAATTTGGATGAACAGATAATTTTGTAATTTTGTAATTGATTGATCTAGGGGACTTTGCCTATGTTTTGAATAACTCAAGGGCTGGATAAGTTAACATTCCTTTTCACTGTGATAAAGATCTAGAAGTTCTTTGTATACTTTGACTGAATTCATCAAGATTGAAGAGGATATCTCAAACAAATGATTTTACCTTGGCATCCAAATATCTTGACTATTCACCAAAAACACCTTTGACTTACCTTCACACAAAAACAGGGATTGATTGTACTTGAGTTCTTACTGAAGCTGATATGGTCTCAAATTGAGGACCCAATATCACTACACAAAATGTCATCTTTACCGGGCGGTAAATAAAACTACTGACATAGAAAAGTCCTGAGGCAACAGGAAGAGAGCTAAAAATCTGAAAAAATATGCACCTTGTTCCTAGATGTTGGGGCGTCATGACAAGTATTTTTTTGTATTTTACACGTAGATACTGGTTAATGTACTAACAATAAACACTGAAAATCATCAAAAATTCACGTGTAACAATACCTGAAATTTGGCCCTTGACTTTGAAGACAGGATTTTGGAATCTTCAAACATCAATAACTTTTGCAGTTCTGAATCAAATCACTCGATTTGAAGTGCATTAAAAAGGTGAGCCTTTCCTCTACATTTTTCATTGAGACATCACATCTGTAGCTGGTCTAAAAAAGATCCTACAGAGCTATTCATGCAGAACTGTTTGAACATATGTAGAGTGTTTAAATGACTAGATAGCACCTTACTAATATTATGAAGTGTGAAGGAGAATAGTTCAGCTTTTGAATGAACCAAAAATCGAGTTATTTGGAGCAGAATTGCAAAAGTTATTGAAGTTTTTAGACCACAAAATATTGTCTTCATACTCATGACCCAAATTTCAGGTATTGTTACATGTGAGTTTTTGATGATTTTCAGCGTTTATTGTTAGTACAGAAACCAATATCTGCGTGTAAAATACAAAAAAATACTCATCATGACGCCCCAACATCTAGGAACAAGGTGCATATTTTTTCAGATTTTTAGCTCTCTTCCTGTTGCCTCAGGACTTTTCTATGTCAGTAGTTTTCTTTACCGCCCGGTAAAGATGACATTTGGTGTAGTGTATGGGGAAAGAAATTGTAGACATGTGGAAGAGTGGAGTGCTGATGGCAGGAAAATATGATCAATGTGCAAGATATTTTCAGATCCACAATGGAGTTGTCATATTGACATATAATCCTGTATAATCACTTTGATCATCTCAGGAAAGTAAGGGCCCGTTTGGCTACACTTGTAAAACTCTATAACATGTTATAGACCACCAAATCTAAAAAGCCTTTTTTATTCGAAATCTTTTATGAGTTTTGAAAAAGACGTGATGTTTGGCAACGATATATGATCAATATATCAGATCATATATCACGATATATTCAACTGGTTGAGGCTGTTTTTCAGACGAAAAACACTTTTTGCCCCTCTCTTAATTGAACTTTGTCAAGTTCAATCACGATCGTGGTGATCTTTTGATAGTTGTTTTGGACCACTGTTTGGTAAATTGTATAACCAAATTACACTTTTTGGGAAACACGGCCGAACGGGCCCTAAAGACCTATCATAGCAGAGATGAAAAAGGGGATTGTAGTGTTGAGGCCTGATCAAAACCCCCAAGGCTGCAAGATCTGATTACCTTGTCAGTGTTTATACACACACTAACTTTTAAAGGTAGCTGATATTGAGGTCAGCTTAGCAAAATTTGATAGTATCAAAATCTAGAACTACTATCCGCTGCAACTTATAATCAAAAAAACCAATCCACAATAAAACACAAAGAAAAAGGTACAAACACAGCACCTAGTTGTCACGACATCACTTTTCCTTCTATCTATTCAATCTTCATCTTTCATACCAAACCAAGCCACCAAAAATTAAACTGAACAAAGTAAAGACACAACTGCAATTGAATTTTCATAATTGATTTGATTGGCTACTTCACCTGAAATTGAAGGTTCCATTGTCATACCTAAACTATAGACTACATTATTGACAACATGTAGTTGACCATATGGACCTTTATGACCAAATAAATTGGGAAACAATTTATGTGATTCACCAATTGCTTTACTTGCATCTACAAGTGAAGGATCACTGATAGCAGAAAGCAATCCCAAAAAAAGGTCAAAAGGCTTGCATATCCAATCAGTTGAATCCACCATCCTTCTCTTGATTCTTGTGGTAATCTTAATAAGATTGAAGCCAGAATCAAGAGTGTTGACCAAATATTATGGGGAGTCTTGCGCCACTATGGTCTACTCCTTTCCCACAGTTTGGACCTGTGATTAGGCAAGGTAACTGGCTTGCAATAAACAGTAAGCCTGATTGTAATGAATCCATTCCAAAGATTTATTTGACGTGAACTGGAACTGTTACAGCAAACTTTGCTATATGCTTGCTTGGGTGAATATCACAAAGAGTGAAGATGGCAATCAAGGATGAAGAAGGATTTCAAGAAGTGGGAAATATCAAATGGTGGGATTAATCAAAGGCGGTGGTTGCAATCAATCTGGTGATCTAGATACTATGATGGTTCTCTCTGTGACTGCTTCATCTTGGTTTGATGACCGATAGGCCTCAGCTACACTATGTTTGATGATTAGGAAAAGAAGGATGATATCGTTCAATATGATGAATCCAGCTACTTCAGAGACAGCATAGTATCCCAATCAAGAACAAACAATGCCTCCTAGAGTCCGAGAGCCTAGACTTCCTGCATAGATTACACCATATATCATGCCCCAAATGCAAATGTGATCTCAGCATTAGATTATCTTCATCAAATCATGAGCAGATCTTTACTTCCTCTCTCATTCTCACCAAGGTAGATCCAAGTTTATTGGATCCAACTGCTTCCACTACCAATGTTAATCCTACAGTCCAGACCATAGCTGTTGATGAAGAAATACAAGAATTGATGCTAAACTTTGTGGAATGAATTCGGATCAAGATAAACACTGATAAGGCTAAATTGAGCTTACCAGCACTGAAACCTTGAAGAATTCTAGCCAACAATAGAAGCAAGATTGTGCTTTCAAAGCAGAATCAGGAGGCTACGTATGACCAAAGGAGAAAGTTGAAGAATGAGTCAAAAGCCAAGATAAAAAAATATGACATACAGCAGACATGGCTACCAATCCAGGTAGGAAAGGTAAGCGACCCTTACCAGCATCAGATATCAAGCCAGCGATCAGAGGAAAAAGAACAGCTGCTAATGTGTGGGCTGCTGAGAGAATAGAGGTGATAGGTTGAAAATCTTGGGCTGGTATTTCTACGAGTTGAGTGAGTGCGACAGGTACGACTGGAACAATGAGTCCAGAGATAAATAGATCGGGTACGAGAAGAGTATGATCGGTGGGTGGATTGTGAGGTGAGTTGAATTAGGTGAAACCATTAGCTGCGAAGAGACTGATTGCATGGATCAATTGGATGATATGGATTCAATAAGTCAGTCTTCTTTAATCTTGTCTTTGATGAGTGTACAAAGACTTACCTAAATCCGACCCCTATGAAGATGAGTGTCGAGGATGATCGAAGTTTCAAGCAAATTGGTCTTGCTCTTGGTTTTTGATTGTTTTGATCCGATTTTTAATCATTTATGAAATAACAGTTAAAAACTGTTTTTTTCTTATACCTCGACTCCTTAATTTCAACAATTCACCTTTGCTGGATGTGTACAACTTCAAAAGCAGGTTCAATACTTGACCCGCCATCCGTATACCTGACATTCCTACTTATTGAATTTCATCTTTCCGAATGAGCGGGTTTCAATCAGAAATTCAATCAATCAAATGACAAGTAAATTCAAGCAAATCTTTCAATCTAGGATTCGAGGAGTGATTTTCAAATCATCAATCGTAAAAAGAAGGGACAAAATCACGCAGTCAGCATTCATACAATTGACTAATCAGTGTACGTAGTTTAAACTTCAAAAAAGGGGCAAGTTTAGGTCATATGTGAATCATCATCAATACCGTGCTGCAGATCTAAAATGATTGATGAGAATTGATTAAAAAGGCCCAATATTGATTGGAGGATTATCTAGAAACCATTCATGGGTAAGAATAGAGGGGTTATCTCGACGGTCAGCTCTTGTTGACAGAAAATAAGACGTCTTGGAGAAAAAAATTGAACATACCTTCAGAGATGGAGAGCATCAAATGAGCAATCTCCAGGCGTGTTGATCAACTTCAAATTGAAAAAACCCACGTACTTTGCTAATCTTTACATATGTGGCTCTTCACTGAAATCCTAAAACTTGTGAATTTAATTTAATTTAATTGATTAATCGATATATGATGATTGAGGTAACTGTTAAGAGAAAGAAAATGGAAAGTGTTTATCCCGAGGGCGAAACTTCGGGTGGCCAAAACTTGAATTCCGTCCGCTAAAAAGTTGGAGGCTTTGCAGATTTTGTATTGATTTGTCGATTTAATCTGAATTGCTGGTTCTCCTTTAAAATGAATGATGATAGGTAAACATACATTTGACCAGTAAGTTACATAATGAGAATCAAAGTAGGTGTGACAGGTTCCCCTTTTATAGGGTGAGAAACAAACACAGGTTTAAAAATGACAAGCAGGAAGTATCATTCCCTTCATTTCAGATTACTTATCAACTTCTTGATCCCTGAAAGGTGGATAATAAGAAGGTCCCAGAAATGAGTTTTTTTTGAAAAAAATCACTCTTAAAAAAGTCCCACCCCAATTGGGTTGAATTTTTACCATCTGCCGTTCATTGGAGTAATCCACACAGTTTCAAATCCTAGTGAGTCCACTGATAACCTGAGTGTTGTAAAAAAATATAATTCAATTAAATTTATAGCATTCATGTTGATGCTTTGTTATTGGGATGTCCTTTACTATGGACATTTTCAGAACCTAAAGACCGACATTCATGAGACAGATTGTAAAATTGAATTTGTATATTAGTCACAACACTTTTGGACCGTAGTGTAGATGTAGTAATATGTAAACAACAATGAAATCACATGATAACCACAAGAAAGTGATATATGAGAGCTTTTGCTGTAGAATATGAGGTTGAAGCAAGGCAGAGGGAAAGTAAGGACAGATAATGAGGTGGTTGGCAGGATTGTTTTGTTCAATGACTTATTGAGTTAGGTGGATGGAAAATGATCACGAGACAATGAAGTTGTATAAGGACTCCTTGGGTTAGGACCAGGTGGATGGTTGAGTTATAGAAATCGTTTTGATTTGCAAGAAGGTGATGGGGAGAGTAATGTGGATCAAACATTTGAAGTGTTGCTTCAAAAGCTGAGAATACATGTAGGCCCTTGCTATTTGCAGCCCACACAAAATCCATGCAGGCGCTGCCAAAACAGCGCCTACATGAAGGTTTCCCACGAAAAAGCACCTACATTTATGATGTAGGCGCTTTTTCCTTTTTCAAATGACTCCTACAGGCTGAAAAACCAATGTAGGCGTCATTTGTGTACGCCTACATTCTAAAAATAAAATGTAGGCGTAAATTTGAAGCGCCTACATTGTGTAGGCGTCACAAAAATGCACCTAAATCTTTTTTTTTGACTGTAGGCATAATTTTTGTGCGCCTACATATTTTGATACCAACACCCTTATAATTCAATACCAACACCCTTATGATTTAATTCCAACACCCTTATAATTAATTATAAGACCCTTATAATTTTATAATCAAATGTGCACTCTTACATTTAATACCCTTATCATTTAATACCAGCACCCTTATATTTAATCTCACCACCCTTATAATTAATCTCACCACCCTTATAACCAATCTCACCACCCTTATAATTTAATACCAACACCCTTATATATTAATACCAGCACTCTTATAGATTTGTATTCACACGTGTATAAGTCCCTTATAACTAACTTAAGCGCCTACATGGAAAAAACAATGTAGGTGCTCAAAAAAAGCGCCTACATTTTATTTTTAGGATGTAGGCGTACACAAATGACGCCTACATTGGTTTTTCAGCCTGTAGGCGTCATTTTAAAAAGGAAAAAGTGTCTACATCATGAATGTAGGCGCTTTTTGGCGGAAAACAACCGTGTAGGCGTAATTTGGACAGCGCCTACATGGATTTCATGTGGGCTGCAAATAGCAAGAGCCTACATGTAATACAAGTGGAGAAGACAACTTTACATAATTAAAGTGAGAGTTCTAAAAGATAACTCAAAAACACTACTTCCAAAGTGAGAATTTTAATAGATAACAATCAGAGAAAGCAGGTCCCCCAAACAAGGCAGATTAGAAATGGTTAGTAACCCTTCAAAGAAAAAAAGAATAACAATTGTAATTGAAAGAAAGAAATGGAAAGCAGTAATAAAATCAGTGCTTGAAAAGTAGATATAAAATCACAAAGTAAACCAATCACAAAGCAAACCTGAAAAGCACAAATCAACCTTGAAAACCAACAAAAACAACCTGATGCAAGGTGGACCACAACAGTAGGGGATTTTACGGTACTTATGCAAGTCACTTGCACATACACCACCAACATAGATGCCTCGGATCGGGAGATCTGAGGTATCGTCGGATGCAAATCCTCAGACAGATCTTATCCGACGTTTCTGTCAGAGGTATCATTATGCGCCCAAAATTACCTCGGATCAAAACCTCGGATAGCTTCTGTCCGAGGTTTCAGATCCGAGAACACCTCGGATTTCCCAATACGAGGTTAATATGCTGGCAGTGATATCTATAATTTAGATATTCAAACCTGGAGCTCAAAAAGATGAAAAAAACTAAAGCCAATTTAATTGATCATTCATTCAAGATGGAATAACCAGGAGTGAAGAGCCTCTTACCTTCACTGTTAGATTGGAATATTCATAAGTCTATTGTTTGTAGATCTTTGACATGGTTCTCAATGCAATTTTCCCTCTAGATTGTTATAATTGATGGTGATGTAAAAACTGTATTGTAATTGGATAGTAGCATTTGTTCCCACCAATCACATCGTCTGGCTAATTGAAATACAGATTCGGGCAAAATTCATTAAAAGGGATGGTCAATTCCAGAAGGCTCAAACACTTTCACATGCAACACTTGATCATATTGGTTCCAAGCTCTGTGAAAGCAACTGCATATGAGGATACAATGATGTGAACTTCCTAATTATCAAATGAAGCCAAAGGGTATTTCATGATAACCAAATCTTGTGTTTTCCATTGAGTGAAAGAAGTTGACAAATCAAATTCCAAGTTTCAGTATGCCAATTCAAACTTATTTGGAGCTGCAAAAGCATGATTTATTCACTTATCCTGACTGTGTTTCTTTGAATTCCATTGATTACATGCTCTTACATGTAATGATTTATCCTTGATGGCTAAGAACTCTGTGAAACATTAGGAGCAGAGCCATGTTGGTCCAGGTCAGGCTCAAAGTCAATCTCACTGTTTCTGATGGACAACCAAGTTGAAGTATTGATTGTTTCAGATTAAGATGAACTGAATGTGGAAGATATTGTTCATAACCAAGTTCTATTTCATTGGGCTCAAACTATTCAGCTGAAGCTGAGCTGAGTTGAATATAAAGCTCTTGAAGTTGGATTTGATCCCCTTGTGGCTTTTTCTTTTTTAACCTATGCACCTGCTTCTCAAGTTTTAAGTGAATAATTTAGCGTCAACATTGCTTGATTGGATATGACTGGATTTTGTCATTTTGAGCTTGCTATACATGTGAGCCAAATATTGAAGCAGATTGGGATCTTTGATGTCATAGATCACAACTGGTCAATCAAACTATCTAGGGCAGCGCCCGCCGCAAAGTTTCTAGTAACCATCTTAACTGTCAACTTTGGTGAACTGTTTTGATTCAATCTTTTCAGTGGTTTCATGTTCAATCGCGTCTCAAAATCAATCAATCTCGTATTGGGGAATGGACCTATAGTTTGATGACTGGAATAGATGGCAAATTTGGCTTCATGACATACAGCCGTTGTGAAAAATAATGGTTTTCTTTTGTTCTCCAGATTTTATTTACTTTCTGATTTGTTGAAAAAACGAGTTTTCTTTATTTTTCATGTGGGAAACAGTTAAGGGAACTGTTGACGTATTTGACATATTCCCACAGAATCTCACGCGGCAGGTGGTGGATATTCTGGTAGGTTCTGATCCCA